GTTTATACAGGCTTATTTCATTTTCAGGCTAATTCTAATATATTTGAATTTGTAAGCAGTTTTTTCAGACTTTGAAAATTATTTCAGCTCTTTCAATTTAATTGATTGAATTTGAATAAAAAAAATACTTGACTTGAAAGGATTCAGATATTAATTTGCAATGTTTTGTGAGGTTATGTTCCAGATCTTAATAGATTCATTGCCAAAAGATTTTCCAACGTAAAAAAATACAAGAGGTGCCTTACCATGATATGAAGCTGATCCCAGTGGGAAATTAGTCCCTAACTATGTAGGGGCAGTGATAGCCATGCCAGTCTAGGGACTGACTGCAGTTCTACTGAAAGGTGCCTTAGTCTGGGTCGACCTGCGTACCTGACATGTAACAACCATACCATGCATATTGCTTTAGGTTAATAGAATATATTAATTAGGCTATGTATACTTCTAAAAAAAATAATAATAATTTTCCACCATCCCCCTTCTTTTTTTTTTACAACTTTTTACAACTTGACTTCTGCCCATGTCTATAGCCTATAGCAGCATAACTATAGAGATAGCTCAGGATAACCTGAGCCACTCTAACTATAAACTTTATCAAAAAGGACAGTTTTAAGCCTAGCCTTAAAGGTAGACAGGGTGTCTGCCTCATGGACCAAAACTGGTAGTTGGTTCCACAGGAGAGGAGCCTGATAACTAAAAGATCTGCCTCCCATTTTACTTTTAGAAATTCTAGGAACCACTAGTAAACCTGCAGATAGAGGGCAAAGAGCTCTGCTAGGAACATAAGGAACAATCATATGTCTGATATAAGATGGAGCTTGGCCAGTTAAGGCTTTATATGTGAGAAGGAGGATTTTAAATTCTATTCTGGATTTAACAGGAAGCCAATGAAGAGAAGCTAGGATAGGAGAGATATGATCTCTCTTTTTAATCATGCCAACTCTGGCTGCAGCATTTTGGATCAGCTGAAGGCTTTTAACTACAGTTTTTGGACTTTCTGATAGTAAAGAATTACAAAAGTCCAGCCTGGACATTACAAATGCATGGACTAGTTTCTCAGTATCACCCCTGGACAGGATACCTCTTTAATGTGGGAAATTAAATGTCAGGTCCTGATCAAAAATAAAAGGAAAATTTAAATGTATGTTTACAATGGTGAACAAAGCGCCTTTCAGAGGGTTCATCTACAGTAAATATGCTCAATGTAACATTTGCATGCTTGACAATGACTGTGCAGAGATTTATTTCAAGCAGTTCCAGTGAGAATTTAGGTGACTGTACATGGAAACTGAAAATAACTGCTGGAAAACTTATGTTATGTAAAAAAACAAACAAAAAAAAAAAACACAAAGATTGTGCAAAGAAACACCTGCCCTGTTTTATTTACGGAGACAGGCTGTGATGTTTCTCTACTGAAGAGAAAAGCTTCAGATTATAAGAACCACATGCAGCTGAATGAAGAGGTAAAAACAATGCTGTGAGCTCCCTGGTGAAGACATTAAAAGTAAGCAGGTAAATGCTCATTCATCCTGCAAGTCCGTTTCATGCTGCTGCCAAGGTGCGCTCACTCTAGTGGATAATGTGTTTACTTAGGACAATGTTTGACACTGCTACTCACTTTGAGCGTCACTATCAACCTTGACAAAGTGATGTTTTAGTTTCTGCAGCTCATACTCAATGAAGAATCTAAAATTCCATTTAAAAGTACTCCGTGACAGTAGTTTAATGCATGCTTTAAAGAAAGCCAAAGAGTTTTTTTTTCTAAGCAAGGCTTGAAATATTCTCGGAGCATTTCACAGCATAAAGAGTGTTAATATTTTCTTTTTTACTTATATAGATATTTCATACATATTTTGGCTCTAAAAAAAAGTTAGATAAATGTCAAGAAGCCAACGATTTCCCTTATGTTTATGTATTTCTTTTTATGCAAATGTAAATGTTTCCTGATAACAAACAAAAGCTTGAAATTTAACCAAGACAACCTGAAAGACCAGCATGGCATGGCCTTAGAGATATTATGTATTGCTGCTTACATTAAATCATGAAATAACATTTATTTACCCAGTATTTTATAATCAGCTCAATTTCAACAGCTGTACCCAGGAGCTCCACCCATAAAGTCTGTCTGAGAGCAAAAGTGGGCTAAGTAACAGAAGCCAGTATCACACCCTCTACTAAAGAAATATTCTGAATAGAAGTAAAAAAGATTTTGTTTTTCATCTGAAAAAGGTAAATACTTTTTTATGGCTTCAGATTCAAGTAAACCAGTAAAAGCCTTTATCCACACACCGAGAAATGATGGTATCATGCTGAAATTACAAGGAGGGGTTGGCCTACCAGCATAGTTTCAGAAGTTCATCGACAACTCTTCCGGGAAGACACAACAGGGTCCAGAAAAAACATCTATAACAATGCAGGCCTCCTACTCCTCAGTCAAGGTCAGGGTTTGTGAGAAAATATGAAGAGAGAGGCTGAAAACAAATGCTATCCATAGGAGAGCTGAAGGAAAGAACAAGACAGACAAAAATAAAAGTCTACTTTTACTATTTGTCCCCAAAAATGAAGGTGATATGGATGAAAACCTTTGCAATTCAGGAAGAAAAAAAACACAACTAAACATGATGGTGACAACCTGGAACTGCTGTACCTTGAGAACCTGCATTTTTTTGTGTAAATTATAAAATGATGGACCAATGAAATCTGCTCTTCCCAAGAAAACTAATAGAGAATCTCCTCTATTGGGATTGGCCTAATCAAAGCCTGGAGCTAAATTCCAATAGAATATTGCACCAATGCCAATCAAAGAATAAGCCTATGCTTGAAAACTTTCTGATGTGGCTGAAACGAAATAATTCCTCAAATAAGATGAAATTCCTCCAAAATGTAATAAGACAGTTATTAACAGTTATTGCACCTCAACAGCTGCTGCCTCCTGGATTTTTATCTTTGTCTGAAGCATTAACAGGTAATCTAAAAAAAAATAACATGTGATGAAAAACAAAAACAAGCATGGGGGCTGGCCAGTGTTCTGTACAACTCTGCAATACTTTGTCAACAAACATCCCTTGTCATCTATTTCTCAGATATTTTCACTAAACAAAAACTTCTCGGATGTAACAAAAAACATCAATAAGGATTTGTTCCATGACATCTAGAAATCTTGGGCTAAACAGATAAAGAAAAAAAAAACAGTTTTAAGAAAACCAGCTGCTTCTGTGATGAGAAATCTGAATGCATTACTGTTTTGATGCTTTATCTTTTTATATTTTGTGTTAATATTAAAACTGTGGTATCTTTACTAAAAATTATTATACAATAAGAATATCAAACCAGGCCCAATGTAAATACTATATTCCACAGTTACCACATTGAATTTTGATTCAGCAAAAAAGTTACATGGGGAGTTTAGTCAAAAAAACGTTTCCCAACAAATCAACTCCAGCTTTTTCACAATGCAGTCCAGGACCATGGGCTGAGCTGGCTGCTTCATCAGAGAATTCAATGAAGTGTCACTTTGGATTTGGTGTTAAAAAGATTTGCCCTTTGTCTCTCTACAGACTTCAACATGCCTGCATATACGCTACAGCCATGCTCAATAAAACCTCCGGGTAGTGATGGGTCCAGCAACACCCATGCGTCGAGCCCATAGAGAAAAACACTGGATTGGTGTGATGTTTTTTCCAGAAGGTCATGTGTTTAAACTGTGTTTAAACTGTGTTTAAAAAGGTATCTGTCGACATGATGCATCTGCTAAAAAAAATGTCTTATCTTTTACTGTTTATCATTCAAATTATCAAGAATTTTGGAGCAGTCTGAAAGGAATAAAAAGGTTTATTATTTTAATTTTCTCGTTGTGTCATCCTTTTCCTCTCGGTTTTCACTCAACTTATCTGAATTAAAGTTAATTTCAAATTCACTCTTAGTTTATTTGCTGTTTTTACTGTACTTATTGTTTTAAAAATATGATTTAAAATCCTAGTCCACAAGCATCCTCATTCACATTTCCCCTACATTTTCACTTTATGTTTAAATTATTTATGGCTGCATCTAAAAACATCAAAAATATTTTCAACTTAAACATAGATATGAAATAATACAATATAACCTATAATAAATAAATTATATAATTTATTGAATTATATCATGGTACTAGGTCATTAGATCAATTTAGTCTGTCAAATACAGTGCCTGCAGTGTCTATAAAGGTCCAGCAGGTGTCAGTATTCTGTGAGACGGTATCAATGCATCAATACAGATTGGCAATGTATTGAAACGCTTCAAGATGCCTCATTAACTCATCATCACTACCTACGGGTCTCTGTTTGCTCTGCTGGATTTCATGTCTTCAAACCTTCAATGCTGCAGAGAATTTTAAGAAACTAAGAGAAGCAGGATCCTGTACCCTGAAAAATGTCAATCATTTCCAGGATATAAGTGTGAATGAGAAAAATGAAAACCACACATACATTGATTTTTAGAGGGTTAAACTTTGGTGCATTAATTAATAATAATAATAAAAAGAAACACTTGTTCAACTTCAGATTTGATCAAATAGAATTTCTTATTTAAATTTTTTCGCACAGTTCAAGATCTTGATTTTCCCCCTCATTTTTATCGGTTTCTGGTTAAACTGTGGGGTTGCTACGGTTTCTATTGGGTTGTTGTAATTTAGCAAAACCTGCAACACTTTAGGCAATTTAATTGAAGTTTGGATTATCATACTTCATTTTCAAATTCCTTTATACGTTTTTAATCTTTGATTCCTTAGTTCTCTCTTAAGACACAGACCCTAATTATTAACGATATTTTGTTTTGTATACACCCTGTGTATACAAAATGACTATAAAGTTGCCTAAGTCTAATTTATTTTCCAAGTCTAAACAAACACCTGTGAAAAAAAGCCAAACAAGTTTACAAACCCGATCTATGAGGATCTTTACACCAGGAAAAAAACAAAGTGAAATGAAGTATTACTGGTATGTTTAATCTGAATGGGTTTCCTTTATTAGTGGGTTTCAATCAGTAACTGAAAAACAAAACATTCAATAATTTGTTTTGAACCATACAACCACATGAAAGATTAAAACTGCAAAATTATACAATGGCACTATGGACACAGAAAGTCTTTAATTTAGATTAAATAACTATATAGTATGATTTTAATAGCCTTTGAGTTGGAGATGTTCCATTTAACTTCTGGTCATTACAGAGTCAATAAATGCTTGACAAGCCGTTTTTCCAGCCTTTGAAACTCATCATCAGGCAGAAGATACTTCTGAACTATACTGATAACCTCTCTCTCAGTTGTACATTCAAAGTCCTTTTTGTTTTTAAAGGGTAAATGTCCTGCTAACTCGCAGAGTGCAACATTAAAGGCAGATTCCTCCTTGACACCAAAGCAGGCTATTCTGGGCCAAATGGCTATACGGACACCTCTTCTTAAACAGCGCTCTTCGGCGCTCTGCATTTCCCCACTGGGTGGGCATCCCCTGGTGATGAACAGATTGTGAGGGAAGTTTTCAGCCACCAGAAAGTCTGTCACCTCACAGATAGCTCTGGCTACACTATCCACATCTCCTGCTTCTGTAAAAAACAAAAATCCAACAGGAAAACCTTGGATCCGGAAAAAATTCTTCTCAGGTATCAAAGGCTTCAGGAGGACGGATTCAATCTTAAGCTCGTGGTCCAGGTAATATCCGTGAAGGTGCAAGTGATTGACGGATGCAAATGCTCCCAGGCTGTTGAAGCCAACACGGAAACCCGGGCTGGAGCTGAGGAGCACAGAGTCGATACCAGCCTGGACAGCTGCTCTCGTCAGGATCTGTGGTAGACAGAAAGATGGATCTGGAACAAAAAGACAATGCCCAAACTCCAGAGGGCTAACATTGATCAACACAACAATCTTGCAGGGTTGAGGAAGCTGCCCATCAGGTACATGTATTCCTCTGCCAGCATCCTTCATCATTTCACAAATAATCTCATCTGCTTTAATTTTGTTAAAGTTAAAATGGCTGGGATTAAACTCTTGCTGAATGCTTAGTATCTCTTGGGGCTTCCTTCTTTCAATTCCACGTTGAATATTAAGCTGAGCAACGTAACCATTTGGACCTGGAAGGATCCGGGTTTCTAAATCACCAAGATGGTAGCGGAAGAGTCCCCTTTCCATCCTGTCTGTCCATCCTTCTCTTATAAGGGCATCAAACTTAGAAGGTGATGGACAGTTTTCACTCCCCCGAAAAACATCCTTGACAAAGTCCTGGGGGCTGTACAAGAACTGGACCTGCATTCTTGGATCTATAAGGGAGATTAAATGCACAAGATTAAGATGATTAGTAGTGCCCAGCATCTTCCAATGGTTTAACCGTCTTAAATTTTAATACAAAACACTGCAGGTGTTTGTTTAATATATATACTGTTCAGCATTAGAAAAAATCCTACCCAAGATTTCTAAAAAATATTTGTACATCTTAAATAATATAGATATGTTTATAAATATATCTTACAAATAAGTTGTATGTAATAATAAAGCTGAATTATAACACTAGTACCCTAGTTTACCTGAACTACCTGTTTCATTATATGACACTAAGCTAAATCAACCATTTTTTTTAAAAAGCTCACCTTTGTAAACAGACACCGAGAATATGCTTTATAAATTGAAATAAACTGTTCTTATAAAAACTCTCTCATTCAAATTATTTAAGCATTTTTTTCTAACACCGGTTAGCTGACCATGCTACATGCTAATTTAGACACGTAACTTCCTCTTCCTGTGTGACTTCCTGTCTTCACAATAAAAGTTCGTTCAAGACAATAAAATCTAATCATGAAACTATTAGATATTGTCATTAATATTGATATATTTAATAACTACACATTTAGAAACAAATACAATTATTTTAATCCAATTTTGGTCACTTATAGCAAGGCTTACAACAAGGATGACATTTGTTTTAAGAGCTTTAAGCTCTTCATCAACGTTTTTGTTGTAGCCTATTGCAGTTCTGTACATCAGATTCAGTTAAATGACAAATTTCTATTTTTTATCAGTGTTATTAAAGCTGTAATTTTTTTTATCATTTGATACAGTTAATTAAACATATAATACATACATTTAAAGGTGTTTTTACCAGTTGATTTATAAAGTTTTTGTACAAACTCATTAAATTGGCTGATGTAAAGTGTACAGTTGCTTGTTTGAAAATAATCTATTTTTGACTAATAACTCTGTAGTCATTAAAAACAATCTCCCTTCACTATGTCCATTTGTCATTTCATTCATCTCTTAAATCATAATTTCCAGTCCTCATAATTTATATACAATCGATTGATTTACTTTTTTTTTTAATATACAAAAATATTTACTGCATATAATAGTTTTACAGTATATATTCTACATATTTAAAGGACAGGGCAGAAGTATAAACTAAATTTAATGGTAAAGTTTGCAAAGGTCTGGTCTCTATCTCCACTGTTTAATAACGAGATGCCATTGGTATTATTGTACACCTAATTCTTTAACATTTGCTGTTTTTTTACTGCTCTGATATTTTTGTATTTAGTTTTTAGGGTGACCCTTTATAAGCTGTTTGGTGACTTAGGATAAGAAGTTACTTTTCAAATTCTGACACATAATAATAATATTATGCACAATTTGTCCCAAAATGAACCATTAGACTAACTACACAACTACAACTAAATCAAACTGCATTAATTGACAAGTTGACAGCAACAAAGTTTCAAACATTTCTATATTTGACTAATAAGGTCAGAATACTCTTCTAATCAAACAAGGGGACCACAATATTTAACTGCTGAGTAATTGTCCAGATTTTTAGAACTGACCCATACTCTGTAAGCTTAACTGAGTTTGAAAGAATGAACAGCTGCTCAGTGACTCTCCATGCTAATATTAGTCACTGCATGCTTCCAAAGATAAGGCAGGCAGTGACCAGCAGAACTGTGAGAGTCTGCTTATGAGTTTAGGGTTTGCCACACTTGATTAAGCCTCAGAACAAGCAAGATTTAAACTCACATTCAGTTTTTACCCATAATCCAACTTCAAGGAGGTGAAAGGATGGAGAAGAGTCAAAATATGGTAAGAATGTTTGCGCCTTATTTTTCATATGTTACAAAGTATTTTCTTACAAAACATAAAACCGAACCCAAGTTTTACTTTTGCTTTGGATATTTTTGCTATTTGGGGGCTGGAGAGCTCAAAGAAGGATTTAGAAGCAAAAATATTGGGCTTATTGAAATCTATGGGGTAAATTGTATTTAAAAAAAAGGAGGACGTTTTTCTGTACTGAAATGATCATTCCTGAGAGTTCAACATATTTGCCTATCTTTAATGAATTACTATCTTATTCCTGTGTCTTGTTGCTTACTGTAGATAAAAAATGAAGCTGAAGAAAAGACTCAGATTCTAAATTTTAAACGGACGGAGGATCCCAACACTGATGTTACATCAACCTCCCAGGTTGCTGCCCAAGGTATGAACAACTTCAATTCTGTTGATTTTCAGTCTAGAAAGCTGTGACTAGAAAAAGCTGTTTTGGAGAAACAGCAAAGTGGGAATTATGTTTTCTGCTGAATGAAAAAAGAAAAATTAGCCAAAGAAACTGAATGAAGGAAAAAAAAACAGAAATTAGCTGAGAGACAATGTAATAGGATGTAAGCAGAAACGTCAAACTGCAGAAAACAGTTAAATCATCTGCAGATTTTGTAGGGTTGAATAATTTGACCGAATGACATCAGAAACACGCTCATCTTCAAACAAACAGACAGAACATTTCGTGAAATTTGATTAACCAGAAGAAAAACTCCAAAAGCATCTGTTTACCTTGAAGTTGACAGAATTTGACAAGAAG